CTATTACACACTTCAGCTCTTTATATAGCGTTTCCAACAGCCCTCCCCCCAGCCGGTATCAATCAGGGCTCACACACGTGCAGCGGCCAGGCAGAGTGTAGCTCACAGGCACGTAGCAAGATCATCAGGCTGGCAGCACCTGTTTGGCCTCTCCATACTTTGGAGCAAGCAAGCGGGAATCACGAGCCTTGGCAATCAGCCAAGAGTTGGAGTAAACAGCACGAGGTTTGGCAGCCAGCCAGGGCGCCATCTGGCTGACTCAGCTGTGCTCGCTTCCCACACCCTATATTCCCAAGGTTCTTTGTATAACCCTCTCTCCTCCTTCCCATATAAATACCCCTTAGAAACTGTTATACCAAGTGAAGTAACACAGAAAAATGACGTATGTTCTCCCTCATATGTGGATCCTTGCACCAAACCCTTTTAAATGAGTATGTATCCAGACATAACTGCAGGAACCAGAATAATGTAAAGGAACCAAGGAGATAAAGAGAAAGAAAGAACGTGAGTGAGAACAACAGTAGGAGACAGATATTACTAACGTGGAAATGGAGAATACATTTTTTAAAAAAGAAAATGTCTCTATATGCGGTCCTGGATGGCCTAGAACTCACTCTGTAGATCAGGCTGGCTTCTCACTGATGGAGATCAGCCTGCCTCTGCCTCCCAGTTGCTGGGATGAGAGGTATGACCCACCATTCTTACAATAAACCAGGCTGGCCTGGAGATCTGCCTGCCTCCTGCCTCTGCTTCTGGAGTGCTAGGCTTAAAGGCATGGCCTGATGCTGTGATGCTCTTTTGATTATCATCATTACCAATCTTCACGAAATTATTGAAATATTCTCTCTTCAACCTTAAGTGCTTATGGGCTCATAAAATAGGCCCAGTTCAATTTTCTATTTCGTTGTCTCTCTTTTTTCTTCTTCTTAACAGCTTGTTGTTTTATTATGTGAGTTAGAATAAATTAATGAACCTGCTTGGTAGAGAGGTTCTCAAAATGCGTGTACCCAGGAGCAACAGCACTTAGACTATCGTATAAGATGTAGAATCTCTTACGTCAAAACTTTGGAGTGGGGCCTTTTTATGGTTTAATAGACTTTCTAGACTGTCTCATCTTAAAGGTTGTGAACTACCATGATAATCTAAGCTAAACAGTTCTTCTCAACCTTGAATTGGTGACTTACTCATCTTTAAACACCTGCATGAATTAAATGCTAAACAGAAACTCTTACTTTTCACAGTAATTTTAGAGTATATTTTAATACTAAACAGGTCTGCTTTATCAAATAAAGCATATCAAGAAATGATGTCATCTATCCTACAAGGGTTAAAGATCAGCTCAAATAGCTGATATTAAACAAAATGTCGACATTGCCTGCATATATATATATATACATATGTAGCATATCTGCGTTTTGTTCCATGTGTAATATGAAGCCTATGTCAAGCTTCACAGAGAGGTGAATTTGAGGATTCTAAACTAATTATACATGGTTTTAATGAATATTTCCCTTAGTATTTTGATATCATGTATTTGATTATCCCCCCTCCAACATTCAGTGGGGTGTAAAAAATTATCATGTATTTTTTTTATTTGTTTGTATCATTACAAATTTTTTCCCCATTTAATAAAATCCTGTTGACAAAGAAAGCCACTGGACTCATTTTTCCTCAGATTTTTTCCATCTATTTTCCAATGTTTCATTCAACAAGTTTTGAACAATTGATCATGCACTCATTTCTTCTTTAAGGTGCATTAGGAATTTAATAAATACCTACACTTGAGAAGTGTGCCATCTGATTGGAAGACCCTGAAACTCTTAAGTAGAATTATTTTATACTGTTTTCTGACAAAGAAAATATTAAAGCTTAAAATAAAAGTATCTACCATTTTTCTGGCATTGTTTTATAATGTTTAGGGAAGAAATTGCTATATTTCCTTGAAACAGAAATATATTAGGTTGATAAGAAGAACTAATCACCTGAAATTAATTGACTTATCTTTTATCCAAAATTCTTAAATAGAAGATGTGGAATGTTCCATTCAGAGTCAGTTATTCTCAATCAAATTTGGATTAGGGTATGTTGGGGGCATAGAGGCATAGTCTCCCAGTGTAAAACAGGCTGGACTGGAATGCTTAGCCACCCTCCTGTCTCTGCCTCCCAAGTACTGTAATTATAAACAGAACCCACCACATACAGCTGTCCTTTGCCAATGCTACCACTTTTTGGAGGTATGTAGTTATTTAATTTAAGAAAAAGAATATTAAAATGTAGAGCATAACTATAATGAGGAAAATTCTATTTATAGAAGAACCAAAACTTAATGCCGATTAGAAGGGAGGAAACATCCTTGAGCAATTATTTATAAGTGACTTACCACAGAGTGCTTTGACAAATATGCAAATCTTCTGTAGACAAGTTTGTTCTCTTATTCCTTTTCCAAGTATATCAAAGTTGGAATAAATAATTGATGCCTCTTTTGATGAATAAAATAGTTCTTTTAAGCAAGTGTCATGAACCGGTTGGGAAATTGGTCTACTTTATTTTATTGAATAGTACTGTCATTACAGTTATTTCAAGTTAATTGCTGAATATTGAAATAGTTAAGTCAAGAAAATTGTAATGATATTGATCCTTTGAGTCACTGACTGTGCTTCCTCATACTATCTAGTAACTCTATTAAAAGTCATGATGTGCATGACAAGATGACATCATTTGCATCTACAATCACCATCTAAAACGGTGATCATTTTAGTAATAAAACTATAACCTGTAATGGTAAAGCATTTGTAGATTTGCAAATTAGAGATATGTGCAGATCTTGTACTGATCACAACACACATATGTGACAATTATTTTATTCTCCTGAGGTAGCTGGCCAGGTGCATGTATTATCTTCTACCTGGCTTCCTGTCATTAAGAAAACTATAACAGCCTTGAATTGATGCATATTTATTCTACTTCTGTTGAAATATTGGCAACATAGAAATCATTTTAATTTACTGTTCTTCACTTTGGATCTAAATCAATCTACCAGCAATTAACTGCATATTTCTGTTACTTTCTCTATTGAAATCAAAGTTAGATATTATATCATTGTCTACCAAATGGCGAATGCACCTACAGATAACTTATGTTTTAAATAGAAAAAAAAAATGTTTTTCTGCGAGAGTGTTTTGGCCATTGGTTAAAATCTCTCCACCTCTGTTTTGGAGGGTGGATGACACTGGAATCACTGCAGTGGTCCTGGACAAAAATAAAACAATGAGCAAGCCTTGATCATGTGACGTGTTTTAGCTGTAGATTTTAATTAGAGCTGGTAATTCACACAGCAGCCTGTGTTCAAGATGCAATCAGGGGGCAGAAATGGTTGAAGACACTGACAAAACAACCCTGAAGTCTGCCATCCATCCTAGAAGACTCACCAGAGTGGAAGAAAGATACCTGTGAAAATGTCACTGTTTTTTAAACAAAGTTCCTGTTCAAACTGGCTCCATATTAGCATATAAAATAGATAATTGAAGATAAAGTTATTTAAATAATTAGTATGTGGTGAGGGGATGTGTCTATTGTCATTAAAAAAATACCTTGGTAAAAATGACCATTTCGCTGAGTTTATTAAAAAAGGCCATTTTGCTGTATTTATCCAGGAATTGCATATACCCACTAAACATGTTTTGAAATTCAAATTGATATTGGATGGTTTCTGAGATATATAAATGATTCACAGGGCAGACTAAAGAAAGAATTCAGTCTATGATAAGTATTTCAAATGTGGGACTCTCACAAAGTTGTTCCTTTAAGTAGTTTGTTAATTGCTCCATTTATTTCTTCAAACATGGCAAAGACAGCACCCTTTATAGCAATCAGTAGAGTAGCAATTTGCTCTCAAGGGAACACTTGGTATGGATGACTTCTAGAACTGAACAGTGGTGGTTTTCCCTTATTTGAAGAAAGTTTGACGGATAAAAAGATACTAGTTCAGTGTTTGTTTCTCATTTCTGTCAGAAATTCTATTGACCACTAGAGGACACTATTTTTCCTTTATCCACATTTCAGTGTATGTGGAATTGAGTTGTGAATAGAACAAAATAAGAAAGGGAGAAAAAAATATTCATTTTCAATCACTGGATACCATATTTTTGCCAACGTAAAACTAAAAATTTATGCATATATTTTTAAAAGATAAATGAATATGAAATAAATTCATTTATATGTAAAATGTTCAGAATGCAGTTCTACAGATTTGCCGTGTCTCAACTCTGCAATGGAATTATGTTAAGGTTCATTTGTATAATGTTCGTATAAAGCATCACCATATAAATAAACAGAATGTCAAACTACAATGTCTAATGAGATATAAGATGGCTGTCTAACACATTATGCTTGGGCTCTAAAATGATATGAACAGTATTTTTTTTTTAGATAGAGCCTTCTGTAGCCCCACCTGGTCTGGAACTCACTATAAACACCAAGCTGGCCTCCATCTCATGGAGATCCACGTGCCTCTGCCTTCCGAGTGCTGGGATCAAAGGCATGTGCCACCATGCCTGTCGAGGAGTATTTTTAACATGGGTATTTAATGTTTTTGATTCTAGGGCCCTCCTGGGAAGGACGGACTGCCAGGACACCCAGGACAGCGTGGAGAGACTGTAAGTGACTGTTTTTTCATTTGAAAACTACCTATTGTATCACACAATTTCACAAAAAAAGCTGTTTTATTATTAACAGTTCAATTCTCAGTTGGAGAATATGGAGTGAATTTCGTTGAATCTTGTACTAAAATATTCAAACAAATGCATAAATGAACCCAAGTTTTTGTCTAAAAAATGCTTTAAAAATAGAATGCCTATTGGTATTATTATTCTTATTGTCAGTAACAGCAGTTTTAGAATGAAGTGATGGGGGCTAGAAAAATGGTTCAGTGTTTGACAACACTGATGCTCTTATGGAGGACCTGGGTTTGTATCCCAGCACCCACATGGAGGCTGTCAACCATCCATAACTCCAGTTCCAGGGTATCAAGGCCATTTTCTAACCTCTGAGGGCACTGCAGGACATGGATGCACTTACATACATGCAGGCAATACACTCATACACATAAAATAAAAATAATACATAAAATATTTTTTAAATATAAGTAAAATGTGCTGATGGGGCAGTGGGGAGAGGCATGGATAGGGGAGAGGATCTTAATACCATCAGACTAAATTGTATGGAAATTGAAAAATATTAAAATTTTAAAAATATTAAAAAATAATAGGATGAAGAGGATGATCTCATATTTGGAATACATCCACAATATAGTCACCTTGACCCTAAAGTCTGTTTACAGATACATTTCAACAGCCCTTCTTACCCTAATAGGTTGCCTAATCTCAAGTGGGCAGCTCTAAACACAAGCACACATGAACACCACTTAATGAACTCAGTGCATTATATATATTTAAAAGTCTATAAATATACATATGTAACCAAAGAATAGGAAAAAAAAATTGAGAGGGAGTTGAGGGGATGTGGAGGAGTTGGAGGGCAACTGGGAGGGATAGAAATGATGTATGAAATGATGTATGAATTTCATGTATGAAATTCTCAAACAATATATATTTTTCCAATTATATAATATATAATAGGCTGTGTGTGTAATGAAATATCCTAATATTAGAACTAGAGGATGAGATATTTTCTGAAATCATAACTATAATGAAATATTTGGCTTGGATCCATGTCTCATGGTTAATAAAAAATATTGGTTGAAAAATGTAATTTAATTTGATTTAAAAATCTGTAATAAATACAGCAGTAACAATTGAGAGGCTCACCCTATGTTGAAATACTGGGGCAGAGAGGAAATGAAGAGCTCTTGGCAGCCTGGTGGGCTTGTTTAATGCTTATTTTGCTACTGTTAAACTACATGTCTGGCTAGCCCAGTGGGCCATTATTCTAATAAAATATCCTCACCGGTTGCCATGATTCCTTGGAATCAATATTTGGATCTCACTATTCGTTAATTTTATTCATTTTTCTTGAGAAAACAAGGACACAAACTACCTTTGACTATTTTATTGAAAATCACCTAAGTGGATTCTACTAGCATTAAAACATAATTGGAATTACATAACAATACTTCATAACCAATACTAGAATGCTACTAACTTTCTGCCATGGGTGAAACAATCCACCAGCAGCAACTCAATTCACATCTTACTCACCAAGTCACAATTCTTGGTTAAATAATTCTTAATTTTAGCCAGCCTGAAAATTTCAAAGTCTAAATTTTCAAAAGACAAATCCAGAAATACACAGCGGAACAAAAGAATGAAGTTTTCTTTTGGGAAGAAAGGTAATTTCTAAAAATATTTTGCACTCAATTTTGCAAACAAATTCTTATCCAGATCTACAGCCAACTTTTTTACCAAACTTATAATCATCCTATAAACAACTCTAGAATATTTCTAAAATAATTTTTGAAGAATGGATATCTAGAGAATT